GCATGTTTGGTGTGACGGGGATTCGAACCCGCGACCCTCAGATTGCGAGTCGAGCGCCTTAACCACCTGGCCATGCCGGGCCAGTTTAAGAATGTTTTATTCTTACCGACGTTTCAATTACTGTACAGTTTACAGTCATCAACAGTAACGAGAACGGTTCAACTGTTTGAACATCGTCTTCACTGACTGTAATAAAAGTCACGTAGTAAAGATTAAAAAAAGAAAACGTTATTAAGTTTAAATGACTCTTTAAAAATGTGCAACCAGTAAACCCATCATCTAGGTTTGAACTATCTCTTCTCAAACAATTAATATAAACAAACATATTATATGATTACAATGGCGCATATACAAACCCTATTAAACTACCCACTGGTGGAATTGGCTGTCACTCTTAACACATGCTCATAAATGAAAATGCGGAGCGTACTCAGTGATATATCGCATGATGGAACTTTAGACCTTTAGTGACGCAGCCCACCACACTAACAACTGTGCTACGCCTGCCTGTTTAGAAAGACAAAACCAACTGCCAGATGTGTGTTTGGAAATATATGTTAAATATATTTATTTATTTTATTTGAAGCGAAATTGTTTTGTTTTAAATTCACACTGTTAAAAAAGATGGATTTTTTTTAGTGTTTATTCATCGCTTATGGAAAAGTTTTCGATTTTTTTATTACAGGTAGACATAGAAAAATCACACAGAAAAACTGTACTGTATAGTGTTCACAAACATACTGTCAATTGATTGGAGCTTAATAATTGGCGTAACGATTCAGAAAGCCGAGATTTTGAGGTTTCTTACAGAGAATGCTAGTATTTTTTTATTACAATATAAAAGTAAAAAATGCTAACCTAGAGTTGCAAAAGCGTCTCACCTGACATCCTGTTTCAACGTCGCCAAAATATCCCGCATACTCGTAGTCTTTACACCGGAAGCTGGTTTTAGGCACGTGATTCCATGTAGGATAGTCCTTTCCAGCCACTCCTGGAATGTTATCATCGTCAGAGATTGTATTTTCATTCCCTTCCGCTTCCTGAACATTTATGGGAGTTGTCAATAACTTTTTTCAGATTAAAAAGAATAAAAAAACATACAAATGACATAGGTCATAAACAAAAACTGAAATGTTATGATTTGGTCTGCAAATGGCGTTATTTTTCTTAGCAATACCATTTATTAAAGTTGTGTTTTAAACATTGTGGTTTCAATGCTATAAAAATTCTCCAAAAGTGAGTTGTTAATAGGTTGTAACATCCCACAGGCAACAGGAGAACAACTATTACAGTAAGTAGCCAAAAATACGAAACCCTATAATCCGAGCTCTTTCGAAAGGTGGGCAAACTGGGAATAATTTTAGTTGAACATACTTATTTGCCTAAATTGATGAATGAGTTTCTCCAAAAGTAACCGTTAGTGTTCTAGAAAAAACACTAAGTAACTCAGATTTGTAGGAAAAACGGAAGCAAAACTCTCACACTCTGTTGCCATAAAGTTGATTCATTTTTTCGAATATTAAAGCAATTTACTACTACAAAAGGTTAATAGCATTTTTATAGTTTCTACAGCTGACTTTAGAATGGCATGGCACCACGGGCAACATGTTTAACACCTATATATATTTGGTTCGCAGCAAACTTTAGCCATCCATAATTTTGCCAAATATTGGGCTACTCTAGTCGAAGAGTGGGATTTGACCGCCACTCTTATAGCGCACCCACAGCCAAAATGCGGAGCGTGTTTGTTTGTTTGTTTTTGCAGCAACAGAATGAGAACATTGGACCTTCGGATCCACAGTTCAGCACACTAACTACTAAGCCACGCCCGTCCCGGTCTTTATAAACGTAGTAAGCAAAGTTTCTTACTTGAACATTGAGGCAGCTGTTGTTAAACATATGCACGATTCCAGGAGAAGAACATTTCCTACCTGAACAGTCAACCAGCAATAATAAAGTGTAAAAAGAGCTTTAATACGACGAAATAGAATTTCATACTTGTACATTCAAGTATTTGTCACAGAATACATGTAGAACAGTCTATCACTAGTAACAAATATTATTTATAGGAGAAGAATATTGCTTACCTTGGAAGTCACTGCATTGTTGGTCAATGTCACTGTGTTAAATGGAAAAATAATTAAATTTGCGTTATGAATGTGATCAAATAATGAATAATTTTCATAAACAGAATCAGTTTCACATATAGCATACACTAAATTTAATTAATGTTCAAATTATAATTTAAAATAATGCCTTCAAATCGAAATATTAAAGAAAAAGAGGTTATTTTGGAATAGATGAACAGACATTCAGTTAATTTTCTAAACAAAAAAGTGGCATGTAAATACAGTTCATAGTAAGCATACTTAAAGTAACTGGCAAATAAATACGATAACTTTAAATAAAAATAAAAATCATTACTACAGAAGGCTAATCGCACTTTTTCGAGTTTCCACAACTGACTTTAAAATGGCGACATGTTTAACATCTATATGTATTTGGTTCACAGCGAAATTCCGACCACTGAGCAGTGCAATGCTACCATGACTAAGTTATGATTAAAGGAGGTATGTTTATATAACAAGATTGCTAAGCAATGTAAAACCAAAGGACAACATTTTGAAGAAATTAGGCTTCACTGTTCTCGTAAAAACTCGAATAACAGGGCGCTTTGGATAGCAATGGCTCCAGAACTATACATCAGACCATTCTCGAACAACGTCCTTATTCGCAAAATGATTGAAGTGCAATGAAGCTAGGTGTATCTGGTACTGTTAGCAAAGTTAAAAAAAAAAGCAGAGGGCTCACAACTTTAGAGCCACATTTTAAAATCGATTACTCCACCTATGAGGAAAATGTCGAAAGAACTGAAACTACAGCAATCCTTTTTGAACGTATTGTTTTCGAATTTCTGTTGCATCTCCAATGGATGTTTTCATCTTTGGTCTGCTTAAAAGTGATCTTGGAAGTTAACATCCACTTAAGTAGAGGATCTGTGTAAATTTTCTCAGGATGTGTGGCCTAAGATTGGCCTTACTACCCTTCGCGGAAGCTTACTACAATAGGATTTACGATGCCAGGCAATTGTTAGTTACCATAGCCATCGTACTGAGAACAAACAGTAATGAAAGATGTAGTTTCAAGAGCAGCACGTACTTACAAATTTCGATTAACATCAAGAAAATGTACAATTTTAAAGTAATCAAGCTATAGTACTTAAATCATATACAAGTTCAATTATCACGGCAAAACCATGCGATCAAACAAGACACATAACTATAATAGAATAGAACACACGAACTTACCTACAGTGATCACCAAGAAAAAAAACTTCCCTGGCATTTTGATCCACAATGTTACTTTGATAGTGGTTAAACCTTCCTGTACTGAAGAAAAAATAATTACATGGGATTATCCAGGCAACTTTTCTGAACAGCCTTTAAACTTTCGAATGAAGCTTATTTTGTAACTCTTTTTTTTTTTAAATATTATTATGCCAACAACGCACACAGCACAAGCCCGCCTATAATTGATAAATAGGCCAGGTGCACACGAGGCGAATATTGGAGGGTAAGTATAAGCTGTGTAAAATTAATTATGTGTTTCCAGTCCCCGCGCGCGTAGAATCACCTGGCCTCAATTTAAATATATATATATTATCGGCCCGGCATGGCCAGGTGGTTAGGGCACTCGACTCACAATCTGAGGGTCGCGGGTTCGAATCCCCATTCCACCAAATATGCTCGCCCTTTCAGCCGTGGGGGCGTTATAATTTGACGGTCAATCCCACTATTCGTTGGTAAAAGAGTAGTTGGCGGTGGGTGGTGATGACTAGCTGCCTTCCCTCTAGTCTTACACTGCTAAATTAGGGACGGCTAGCGCAGATAGCCCTCGTGTAGCTTTGCGCGAAATTCAAAACAAACAATATATATTATTTTTGAAGGCCTTTTCACATTGTTGACGTATGTTCCCTTTTTTAATGTATAGTTAGCCGGCAAACTCTTCACCATAAATTTATTTTTCAAGTGTAGTTTATCAAGCAAATCAATTAAGAAAGACTTTCACAAGCTTGTATGTAGAAGTAAGGTTTTTAAAGCCGTTAAAAATATTCACCAAAAATTATGAAACTCATCTGTTAGTAGCCCCCCAGTGGCACAGCGGTATGTCTGCGGACTTATAACGCTAGAAACCTGGTTTCGATACCCGTGGTGGGCAGAGCACAGATAGCCCATCGTGTAGCTTTGTGCTTAACTTCAAACAAAAAAAAATCATCTGTTAGTCAATGTATACATCAGTGTCCAAAGTCCATAGTCCACCACACACTCTTCCTCCACAGCAAACGAAAACGACGTTTTAACGCATTATTTTCCATGCATTATCTGATACTTTTAATTTTATTAATATATATATATGTGTGTGTGTGTGTATGAATAGAAATATATATATATTGCTATTGAAATTAGATAGTCAGTATGATCACATTTGTATAAGGGGCCTAAAATATGAAATATGTTATACTTAGGAACTACTCACGCCTTTAAATCAAAACAAGACAAGCTTATGGTCAGTTGTAAGTTAATTAAACTTTTACTCCAACTTATTACACCATCAACATCATTCGTTTTTAGTAGTACACTAAGCTAACAGCCGAAAAAACCCGGGCACTTTCGACAGGTGGACCTGGCTTCGTAGTTGGCTAAAGCATCATTAAAGCAGGCAGTAGTAACTAATATAGTTGTTGAATTTAGTACAAATATCATATATTTCTGAAGTTTATAACGTAGAAATAGAATTTTAACACTGATAACACAGTAATATATGACTAGCGTGTGTTGTCTTTCTTCAAATATTACTTTGGACTAAAATAAATAATAACAATCAGGGTAATTTTGAAATTAAAAATCCACCATAAGCATCATGAGTTAAACAAAGATTACTCTGGAAGAATGAAGGAAAACATCTTCCTCCATCTCTTAAACCTATTTATCTAATAACCCATTATTATTTTAAAAAGCTTGAAATTAGCCTCATTTAGGTGTTGTTATGTATGTATCTTTTATAGCTTGTTTACAGCACTAATGTTTTAACCGAATTTTTGCATACAGAAATATTGAACTGGCATATTACCTAGGGTTTAAAAAGTTCAAGCACATAAATACACTTTGAATTGGACTGTGATTCACAAACAACTAAAAAGCTAATAACAAAAGAGGCGAGAATTAGTATATACATACACTCAAGCACATAAATACACTTTGAATTGGACTGTGATTCACAAACAACTAAAAAGCTAATAACAAAAGAGGCGAGAATTAGTATATACACACACATTTCTTCATATTGTTTTCTTCTTCTGTATTTCACGATTAGTTTCATAATATAACATTCCAAGCACGCTCTAATATAAAACTTTCATGTGTACTAAATATCCTACATTATATGAATATCTCTGCTCAAGAAGAATACAATCTATATAAGATCATCAAGGTTTTTAGTATTTATCATGATATTTGTTTCATAGTTAGTGTGTCATGGTTACCTACTTGACACGCGTGTTTACGCATTTTACGAGAAACCTTTTCAGAAAATCATCTTTTACAAAAGGATTTGTGTGAAAATTTCCGTGATCTTTGACCAATTCCTTCAGATGGCCTTGTAACAGAACCCAAAAAGCTCCCCCCCCCAGTACTAGACATTGCTGTATAGTATTAAGTTTTCCTATGATGCCGTCTCTCAGCTGTATCTGGTGTTCAAGTGTTGTTGAACAAAAAAGTTGTAAGTTCTTTTTTATGTTGGTAAACTACAACTTTCGCTTCCTTGCATTAATTTTACTTGTTGTTTATATGCTCCGGACCAATGAAGAAAATACTGGATTCCGTACACCAACTGAGATGCTGATGGGAAAAAAAAAACAAAAAACAGAAAGGATGAGTTAAGCGTAGTCAGGAGTGCGAAGTAATTGTACTGGATAAAAAAGGAGAAAACGTTTCCCAGTGACCCTATTAGAAATATCTGTGAAAACATTTCCTTCACCATTGACCCTTACCTAGCTAGCTTTGTTACCTACAGGTAAAAGTGTTATAATCGTTAAACAATTAACTTTAGTAAAGTTCTACGATATTCACTGTTGATACAATGCATAAACTCCCTGGTTAGCACAAACATGCGGTTATTTTCAAAGGCAATTTTTTTAGTTCACATTTGTACGTAATGCTAGAATTTTAAGAGATTTAAAATGGCAAAAACGATATACAACTGTACATGGAAAAAGTTATCTATACAGAGTGTTTATATTGCACATGGCGGTTACTTTATATATTTTTTTGACAAAGCACTTGAGGATAACGTTTTTGCACAGGTTATGTTTTTTGAAGTAGAATTTAAGGTTCAAAACGATAATATGAATTCTGCTAAAGCTTCATTAAGAAACTAATAGTACTTACGCAATATACAGTAGTATAGATCAGTGGTCGGCAACCTGTTTTGATCGCGGGTCAATTATTTTTGTTGAAAATTT